GAAGCCTTTCCCTGGTGTCTCCTGGTACTACTGAGGCAGGCTGGCATTTTCAAAAGGAGTCTTTTTAAAATAAAAAGGAGGTGGGAGTTAAAAGGGAAACCACAGAGAAAAATACAAGCAACTATTACAAATAGCTAAGACGCCACAAGGGCTTGCTCTGTGTCAGGCAGCAAGCTTTGCCGTCATTGAAACCTCACCACGATTTAATAATTTATTTTTGTCATCCCTACTTTACTGATGAGGAATTAGGGGTTCAGGGAGGAGGAGGGACTTGACTTGCCTATATTCTTCCAACGGGCTAGAGGGGCGCCGGAACCCAGGACCACCCAATGTCACCACACGCCCCTGCCCTTCCAGAACCTCTCAGGACAATCAGGTTCAGACAGTCTGGGTTTCTGGTTCTACAAGAGAGACTGTTGAGAAATGCTACCTGTGGTTAGCTAGGGAGGGTCTGATTTTTTTTTTTTTTTTTTTTTTTTCACAGTTTCCGGTCTTAAGGGGACTGTGGTGCCGTTCACCTTGTGTCAGTCTTGTGGTAGGCACCCAGAAACCCAGCGAAAGGGTATTAGGAACTCCTTCCAACTTCTCTTGTGGATTAGCTGAGGCAAGGAGACTTGTCCAAGGTCACACGGCCCGGTAGTCCGCAAGGGAGAGAAGGGACGGTGTGCGCCTGTGGGGTCGCGTGCGCCACGGGCCCCACCTACCTTTGTGCCAGCCCAGCGGCCTGGCTCCCAGACATTAGCATTCCAATGGCCCCGGGACGCTTTGTCCTCCGACTGAGGCCGGCTGGGGGTGGGGTGGGATGGGGGCAGGGCACCATAAATCTACCTGCTTGTGTGCCAGCGCGGCTTGACTGGAGGGAGACGCAAGATTCATGTGCTGTTTTTCTGGAAGCCAGTCTTGGGCTCAGACAAAAGCAGAAGACGGGGGAAGAGCCATTCGACCCGAGAGTCTTTCCTGCCCGGATTTCGGACACTGTTGGTTTCAGACCGCAGCAGGCTCCGCAGCCGAAGAAGCGCTGGCTGACGGTGAAGAGGCAGGGTCCGGGCAGAGACCGCTAGCAGCGCGGTTTTAAAAGCCCCAGGACTCAAAACGCTGCAAGAGGTGGATGGCACGGGGGCGGTGGTGCAGAGCTATTTGGACAGGCCATCCCTAGAAATGTTTCCTAGTTCTTCTTGATGAGGAGTTCTTTGGAAAGAGGCATGGGCGAGCTTTCCCACCGCAGCCTGATTTTACACACTTAGACGGAGCTCATCCAGCACCGAACCCTAAACTTTGCCCCCGTGATTCAGAGAAACCCTAAACCCTCCTCCGCCTTCTCCCGACTTGGAGAGTGGAGCTGACAGTTTCGAGGGTCTAATTCGCCCCAACCCAAGGTGGCGGCCCAGCAGCTGAGTTGGTTAACCCGAACGTGCGTGTTTTAATTTGTGGGGCGGAGGACCAGTCTGTGTGTGTTGGGTGACTAATGGCTCCTTAATGAGCGCCCTCAAAAGCAGGAGAAGGACTGGGCTGTGGGGGAGAACGCAGCTCACCCGGTTGCCTCCTGGAGAACCTTAACCCAGCAAACACTCCTCCAGCTTCTGGGGGCCGTTTGTACCCAGAGAGTCCCCTGCCTAGATGATGAACACTACTTCACACAGCGTTCCACAGGAAAAAGAATCTTTCCACTTGAGGAATTCCTCTCCAAACCTTTAGTCCTGGCCCAAATGCCACCTCTTCCTGCAAGCTTCCGGCACTCCAGCCCCAAGGTGACAGTTTGATGTTCCATCCTGCGGCTCATACCTCCCCCAACCACCAATATTTCTTGGGCCTTGAGTGATTGTGTCTATATCCTTGCTACTGTCCTGCGAGGATAAAGAGACCTTCTTGATTTTTATGTCTGCCCACCCCGTACCCCAAACGCCCAGCAAATCACAGGTGTTTGCTTGCTTTGTGCAACTTCCAAGCTGCTGACACCTGTCCCCAGGCGGTGCCCCAGGTGGAAAGTTGGCTATTGCAGAGGTCATCAATAACCCATTAATCTCCTCCTCCCAGATTAAAGCCACAAAATGAAACAACACCTTCGTTCATTCGTTTGTTTGCTGTGTCCCTCTTCCCGCCCCCAAATCCTGCGGCTGATAACTGAGACAAGTCTCCTCTGAGCTAACTTTACAGATTTATGGTAGAGAAGGGAAAATTTCCATTTGAATTGGGTAGGGCATAGGAGAGAAAGAGATGCAAGAGGCATTAACCCCTGAGAAGACTTCACCTTTGCACTTTAATGTGCTGGAAAAGCAACCTCTCCACCAGCTCCGGGGGTCTGGCAGCACCACACCCGACCTGGGTTGGCCCACTTCTTCCCAGGACACCCCTGGCCAATTCAAGGAGGTCTCTGGAGTTCAACTAGCAGGTAGGGTGCCTGTCCTCCACTTACCTATTCCCAAGCAGCAGGCGAACTCTGTGGATCCTTACAGCTTAGACCATATTCTCTGAGGTCCTAGGGGTCCCTGAAGTCATGTAAGGGTGTTCTACTGGCACTCCTGGGACAGATTTCAGTGCCCATGCTGCACCAGTCCTTCCACCTTGCCAGTAAGAGAGATGGTGTGGCTGGAAACCTTGAACAGTTTCTTGATAAGTTTTCAATCAAGGCTGCCAGGTAATGAGGGAGGGGGTGTTGCTGGAGATTCCAGTCAGACACTCCACCTTCTTTGCTCCTGGCTGCTCAGCTCAACAAGTTCAAGACACAGCCACCTCAGTGCCTGAGTAAAATATGCTCAGGGGATGTGCTAGGCCTCTAAGCACCTTGGGAAAATTCCTAGGATGCCCAGCCCAGCTGTGTTTCCAAGGACTCTGAGTCTGCAATTGAATTATTACTGTCTGCCTTCCCCGAGTGCAACCAACAGTTGCTCTAGAGCTAGGCTGGTGGAGTTGGGGAAAGGGCCGGCAAGTGAGAGTCAGTAGTCCTAGCTGGAGGCTTGTCTTTCTTCTAAACCGCTCTTTGAAATAAGAGGATTCATTGCCCTACATAGAAAAAAGGGGGCTGGACCAATAATTACTTATAAGACTTCCAGCTCTCCAAACCCAATCTGCCCTGGCTCTAGTCCAGACCTCTAGAAAGAGTGTCATCCCTCTCCTTGGACAGAGGTGCTCTTCCTCAGCTGTAGTGACTGTAGCTCTCCTCTCCCCAACGCACAATGAAGTCACCTTGCCAAGGTTTCCTGAAGGTCCATTTTTTTTTAAATTGGCTTAAAATCTCACCCAGCAATCCCTAAATAATCTAATATACAAAATATAGACTTTTCCTTGCTGTGAAATCTCATTAATAAATACAAATGTGTAAAACGGCGGGGGGGGGGGGCATATAATTTACTGTACCAAACTTGATTTCAAAAGACATCATATAATTTACAAACCGATTAAAAAAAAAAAACAAAACAAAAAACATGCGCGGTGCTCCAGGCACCTGCAGCGCAGCTCACGTTTCAGGCGCAGCTCGCAGGGAGGCTGGGGAGGTGCTCCCTGGCCGGGCTGGGCTTTCCCAGTTCATAGCCTGGTCTTCCGCCCCGGGAGGGCAATGGCTCCGAAAAGTGCACGAGGAGAAGGCAGAGGGTCGCCTTCGTGGCTTTAAGGCAGAGCGAGGCGCCCTGAAACCCCGGACCTGATTGGGAGTAGAGAAGATCGGCAGCGTCTTTGGAGCAGGGCAAGGGGAGCAAGCGCTGAGAGACCAAACATTGGATTGAATCACATTGGAGGAGGGGTGGTAAGAGACTGAGAGGCAGACAGACTTGAGTGAGGGTAGGGCGACCCGAGACGGTAGGCGGCTCCGGCCGGGTAGTGCTACCATTCTCGTACTCTTAGAATGAGATTATGGCGTGGTGGCAGGGAGGAGGCCTAAAATGAGCGAAGTTTGCAATGCCCACTTCGCGCGGGCAGCAAGGGCTGCGTGAGTTGGCGCGGCTCGGAGGGCCGGGGAATGAACCCAGCCTGCAGCCCCCGCGGAGGCCTGGGCCAGCCAGGGGTCAGCCAGTGAGAAGCAGAAGGAACAAGTGCTTTTGAGGGTCGCCGCCATCAGCCACCCTCTAGGGCTCCGGCTCCCTCCCTCTCCCTTACCCTTAGCACCCACAGCCCAGCGACAGGCAGGTCCCTTCACAGAAAATCTGAGAAAGCCAGAGTGCTTGGGCGCAAGCAGGCGGAAGAGGTGGCCCCCCGCAGGCCGGGGCGCTCCTCCAGCGACGCGGCGGGGCTAAGGCTGCCAGCCTGGGAGACTGGGGAGTAGAGGGACCCCCAGTCCCCGGGGGATCCGCCTTCTGGGCTGCCCAGCTCCCCGCAGTGCGGCGCCGGAGACTCCAACGCGTAGAAGCTGTGGTCCGCTATGCGCAGCGTTTGAGTCAGTGCCCAGATGTAGTTGTGGGCGAAGCGCAGCGTTTCGATCTTGGTGAGCTTCGCGTCATCTGGGAAGGTGGGCAGGACACCGCGCAGCGCGTCCAGCGCCGAGTTGAGGTTGTGCATTCGATTGCGCTCGCGGTCGTTGGCCTTCTTGCGCCGACTCCGTCGCTGCTTGCTTAGTGCCAACTCGCTCTTAGGCCGGCTGCGCCCCCCGCGCCGTGCCCGGAGCTTCCTTGGCGCCCCTCGGCAGCCTCCCCCTTCCGCCTCCGCGCAGTTCCCCCGTGTGCGAGTGGGGCTGGGCGGAGCGGACGTGGGGCAGGTCACTTCGTCGTCCAAGGCTCTGGGGAAGGACCGCTCCGTCTCACCGGTCACTTGGACAGTGGACGCACCCGAGGGATGAGGCGTCATCCTACGGCGGGGTCAGAGGGAAGGTAAGCTTGAGTCTGTCACTGGGCGCAGTCCGCGATTCCAAGGCTAGGTGGGAAAAAACAAAAAGAGCCATCCTCCCAGCCCCCGCCGGGTCAGAGGATCCCTCTTTCCCCTGCCCGTCCCTCGGCGGCCTCCAAATGTTACCTTTCTACCGGCGCAAAAGAATAGAGAGCGATGAGCAGCTAGGCCGTGGGGAGCTGAGCGGGCTTCTGGTCGCCAAGTTCAGCTGAGCTGCAGGCGCCCCAGCCTGGGAGTTGCCCCAGCCCCAAAGGAGAAAGGAAGAGAGAATGGAGTCCCGGGCCTCTGTCGCGCTCTCTCGCGCGGCGCGGAGGTGAGACCGCGGCGATTTCCTGAGCAGCAAGTCGTGTGCCCCTTGGCACGCTTTATCTACTTGGCCCGGGCCAGGAGCGTGCCTGCCCGGCTGCTGCCCGCGCCACCGGCCAATCAGCGCCAGGGCCCTGGGGCCGCGCCACGCGAGCCCGCTCCTCCCCCGCAGGGCACAGCTGGATTCCGGACAAAGGGCCGGGGTCGGGGGAGGGGAGCGCCGCTCTGTTTGCTCTCTCGCCGCGGGCTGGGTCCCAGCAACTCTCAGTTCCTCAAAGAGCCTCGCCCAGTGAGAAGGGCCTCGTGTGGCTCTCGTCTGGCCACCCCAGACCGCTTTGCTCCTAGCCTATCTTTACTTAGCATCTGTCCTGGAGGGGACTTTGATGCCTCTAGTGTACAATGCCCACACGTTACACATGGGGAAATTTAGGCTTAGTGAAGGAGACAGCTTGTCCGAAATCGCATAGCAAGATAGTGGCGGAGACAACCAGGAGCTCGTTGTCCTGACTAGCAGCCTGGAGAAGGGTCCAGGAATTCTAAAGTACGCCCTGCTCTCCTGGTGTTTCACTGCCTCTCTTCATCCTGGAAGACAAGGGCCATCACTGAGAGAGCTCCTGCCTATGTCCCTTCCATTCACAGACCTTCTATTGGGGGTGTCCCGAGCCTCTGCCACACCCTGAAATGCTACCTCACTCTCCCCAGAGGCGCTTAGAACCCCACCCCCATAGATCCCACTCCAGAGGCAGCGGGTGGCTGTGGGGGGACCCCTCAAGGGGACATTCCATTACTACAAGCCTACTACAGCTTGTGGATAGTATCCCAGCATTCTGTCTAGGAACCGTGACAGGAAGAGTTCTGGGAAGTGTGAGGAGGGGAGGAAGGAACCAGGAGTTCACAGTGAGCTCTTGCGTCTTTTTTTTTTTTTTTAAACAAACAAACAGACAAACAACAACAACAACAACAACAAAAAAACACAAAAAACCCAAAAAACAAACAAAAAAAAAACAAACAGAAAAACACCAAAAACAAAACCAAAAACAAAACAGGGTCTCCTTCTGTCACCCAGGCTGGACTGCAGTGGTGCAATCACGGCTCACTGCAGCCTTGATCTCCTAGGTTCAAGCTATCCTCCCACTTCAGCCTTCTGAGTAGCTGAGACTACAGGCGTGCGCCACTGTGCTCGGCTAATTTATTTTGTATGGCAGGGGGGTCTTGCTTTGTTGCCCAGGATGGTCTCGAACTCCTGGGCTCAAGCGTTCCTTTCACTTCAGTCTCCCAAAGCGCTGGGAAGCAGAGCCGCGGCGCCCCTCCCCCTTGTGCCTTTTGAACCATCACGGTGTGCAGGCACTGGGAGAAGCAGATAAACTTTTTCTCCCCTTAGTCCTTCGGTCCAATCACAGACAGACAGCGGCTGCCAGCAGTCACCTGCTCCAGCCCCCTGCCTCGGCATCACTCGGGCATCGCACAGTGAGCACAAGGTAGGGACTCCCCAAGCCCCTGGGGTTGCCCCTGGTAGCGCTCTCTGGAAACCTTTCCAAAGGGAGTCTGAACTCATCATCCCTCCTTTCTTCCCCAGCCCCTCCTCTTGTCCCCGCCTGGGACATCCCGTGGTCTTCTGCTTCCGGTCACTCAGGGTGAGGGGTTGCAGCTTCCGCTTCTCTCTCTTGACCCGATCGTGCCTGGAGGAAGAAGCCGAGGCCGGGGGGGTTAAGTATCCGGGTTTAAGTCTCCTTAGGCGAGGAAGGCTTCACTTTCCAGCGGATCCAGATATCCTGAGTCTCCCGGAAACTGCAGGAGGGGACAGGACTCGACTTCGAGACTGTAGGGTGGGGTAAGGGGATGAGGTAGGTCTGTGAGTCTGCCCTAGTGATAGCCTCTTACCGCCCAGGCTGCTTGGGGGCAAATTTTCCTCCAAGGAAGAGGGTGATGTGCTCAGGAACCAGGGAGAGGGGTGCTCTAGGACTGGGCGGGGGTGTGGCACAGTCCTGCCAATCTTAGAAGGTGCTCTGTGAGCAGAGGCTCCTTCCCTTGCTGTAGGGAAATGAAGCCTGAGACCAGGGTCAGAATCAACAAAGGGACCATCTGGGACTGTCGGGGTAGCATTTTGCTGCAGCTCCTCCCTTAGGTCACCACTGGCTAGGAACTTGTCTTCTCCTCAAAAGAATGGGAATTCCAGGCCTTCTTTAAAGATGAAAAAGTCAAGGCCCAGAGAGGGGGAGTGACTCTCTCAAGGTCACACAGCAAGTTCTATCAGAACCACACAGAAGTCGTATCTTCAGACTCCTAGTCCCAGATTTTCCCTTTGAACCACCAACCCCTCCTTGATTTGGGGGAAAACATTTTTTTTTTTCAAGGCAAAACAAGAGATCCCAAAATGCAGAACATAGAGGAAGTCCTGAGTCTGGGGGTCAGATCAGAAAAGAAGTAATGGTCCCATTTTCCAGGCAAGGGGAGCCAGCATCCATTCAAGCTGCTGCTGCCCCTGCTGCTGCTGCTGCCCCTGCTGCTGCTGCTGCTTCTTCTTCTTCTTCTTCTTCTCCTCCTTCTCCTTCTCCTTCTCCTTCTCCTCCTCCTCCTCCTCCTCCTCATCCTCCTCTTCCTCCTCCAAACTTGTCTGCCTCATACCCCAGCCTTGCTTGATTTATTTACCTGCAAATCAGAAACTGGGAGAGAACCAACTTGGAGCTTTTGGGTCTGGGAGAGAAAATCCAAACCATGCTTCTCTAGGTTCTCCTGACCTGGCTAAGCTCCATGGAGGGAACCCTGGCCATGAGCGATCCAAGTACTGCTCTTGTTTCCCAGAGGCCTGTGGATGACTCTCATCTGGCAGTGGACCTCAGATGGGGGTAGGTGGACCTCAGATAGAGGTAGGTTTCACTCTGGCCAGGGCCTGCCTGGAGTGGCTAATGGATACTAAGGAGGTTGGCAGGGTGAGCTTCCCATGCCAGGAAAGACACTGGGGATTCTTTCAAGCTTTCTTGATAGGTAGAGAATTCTGGGATCTGCTTGGAATTCTTATCCAGCCTCCCCCAAACCCCTCCGGCTCAGGGCCCTCCAGGGCTTGCCGTTCTCCATCACTCCTGCTTTGCGCAAAAAGCAGCCAAGGCCAGGAGCGCGCGGTGGCTGGGGGCAACCGCCTTCTTGAGGGATGCAAGGACTTCCCGCAGCCTTCTTCCAGCCAGGAGGCCAGGGCCGGAGGTCAAGGAGTCTTAGAGGATTAGAGATTGAGGATTCATGCCCTCTGTCTCAGCTGCAGGGGAGGCATAGACCCCTCTCCAAAGTTAATTCCTGTGCCTTTGGCTGCTGAGGCGCAGGCGGTAATGACTCCGTGCGCACCGGCAATGTTTGTGAAATCGCTCTTCCCGCAGAGAGCAGAGTCTGTTCCTGCAGCTCCTGGTCATCCACCGCCCCTAAGACCTCCAGGACTCCCGCACCCCTACACCTCCTGAGATCTAAGTTTGCCTGGAGGCTGAGGGGGTCCCGGAGAGAGGCGGTAGTCAGAGGCCTGGAGACAGCGGGCACATTGGAAAAGAAGGAAGGCAGCGGCCAGCCTTCTTGCCTTCTTGTCGGCGGGGGTAGTTTTAGCATTGCCTGGGGGCTCTTTGAGAGTTGTGCAGGGAGGGAGGGGGGCCATGGGAAGCTGAATAGCTAATGACTTGCCAGAGGAGGGGGATTCTTTCTCTCGCCTTCAGCTCAGCAGTGAAAGAGGGGAAGACAAAAATCTGGCGAGCGAGCTGCCCGGGCCGAGACTGGCCACTTCAAACAGCCCTTCAAACAAAAGGAGACGACGAAAAGAAAGCCCCACCTGTCTCCAGTGTTTGCTAAAATAATAATAAATAGATTTCGTTTAATAAATAATTACAAGAGATTGTAAAGTGGAGTGCTTTGGAAAACATCTACCGCGGGAGTCCGTGCAGCCAGCCGTCACCTGCTCCTAAGGCGAACAACTTTATTGTTAAGCCACCCCCAACTAGTTCGCCTCTGATAAACTCTCCCTCATTTTCACAATGACTGTTTACTCATAGTTAGCACAATATTACCTTTGCCGTGATAAACCCGGAGGGGGGAGACCTGGCCCCTGGCCCCTGGGCACACCTGTCCCAGAAGCTGACACATGGATTTGGCACAGAGCAGGCCTCCCCCCGGGGGCCCTGCCCCCGTGTACATTGGCCCAATTGCCACTCATTTATAACAGGTTGGCTGCAAGGCCTATCTCGGTCCTATTTGTCTTCTTTTATTGAAAGCATATGGTCTCCAGGGGCTCACCAGACCCATATTTCATCTGCCAGGAGCTGGAGCGCTTCCGCAGTCTGGTGCTGCTCAGCGCGCAGCTCCCCACCCAACGGCTGCTGCGCCAGCTGAGGGGATGGTGGAGGCAGGGTGGGGAGAGATAAGGCGCACTCCTCACCCACTTTCGGAGAGAAGCCGTTCCCTCAGAGACTCCCCCTCCCCAGGCCCAGGGACCTCGTGCGCTCTTGAAAGGGTGGCCGGTTCTTTTTCTTGGGTAGGTGACAGGGCGCCATATGCCACCCCCCAGGGCGCACGAGGGAGCTCTGGCCCAGGGAGTCTTTGAACAAAGGGAAGAGAGGGCCCGGGCACTCAGGAAAGCCCGAGGTCTTTATTTCCAGATCCCCCCCTCCCTGCTCAGGGCCGCCTCCCCTAGGCGTCCGCAGCTCGCGCGCGGCGCCTGGAAACAAAGTGTCCACATTATCCCCGCCGGCGGCTGAGACCGTCAATGCGTGAAAAGGTGCATTGCGCACCAAGACACCTGTTGAAGCGGCGCCTCTTCTCAGCGCCCCTCTCTGCTCTGCGCTCGGTCAGGAGCCGCGCAGGGAGCGGGGGGTGGGAGGAGGGAGAGATACTGTGATTTGTGGCGACATATGTTGAGCAGATCGGTGTGTACTCTTCACAGGGACACATGCACCCTCGCTCCCATACACAGCCCGCGAGAAGGAGCAGCTGCTCTCCTCACCTTCTCCCAACATAATACCTGGGCCAGGCGCTTTGGCCTC